GTGAAGGATGGTCAGACACTGATGGCATAGCTGAAGCAGCTCTGGCTCCCTCCTGCAGCAGAGCAGGCTGTGAGGAAGCCTGTGGCACACTCTGTAGGTCTCTGCCAGTAAGTCAAAGCAGTTTGGATATAGCTGCAGACTCTCCAGTGGTGCTTTTGGCTGTCCCCATCACATCCTGGGTGTACAGGGTGCAGAGCTCAGTGCCCATGCCCACACCTCTGCCCTCGCAGGGAAATCATCTCAGCACTGAGAAGAGCCCTAAGCTTTTGTGTGAGCTGTGCATCTTTTCATCATTTATTTTACCAGCCAGGAGGTGTGAACTGATCACCTGTAACTGATGCAGGCAGGTGGTGAGGTCCCATGTCCACAGTGATTTACCTGGAGAAGGTGTTCATTGTCAGACACGCGGCTGATCTCCAGCTTGCCGGTCAGCCGCACCCCGGCCATGGCCAGGCCTCTCTCTGGCAGCCCATGCAGGATGACACTCTCGTAGCCATATAGGTAGGTCTTGCCAGTATGAAAAACAGGCTCTATTGGAAAAAAAATTATTAGAGAAAAACCTCCTTTGCTATGACCATTGTGATATTAATTGAACCAGCTCAGTAAAGAAGGGTGAGGCTGCCACAGCCAAGTAACAGGTGCAAGCAGTGGGCAAGGCATGGCTGTAGGGGAAGGCAGCATGGGAACCACTGACTGGCAGTGGGAGTCACTTACCAAGGTCCTGCTTCTGGCCCCCTGTGAGGGAGGAAAGAGAAGTATGCATGAAAAACCTTCATCTCCATAGATCCTTTCATTTATTATTCATTTAGTCAGTGTGCTAATGCTTGGCAAACAACCAGTCATGGGCTCATGGGGTGCACCCCACACCCCCAGGACAGCAAACCCATGCCAGCCCCTCTCACTAGCTGCTGCTTGCTTGGCTTTTCTCCTGCTGCTGAGCTTAGGCAAAGAAATCTAATAGCTTGCAGCTGAAGCCATAAAAGGGATTCAGCAAATGAAGCTGTAAATATCCCCAAAAAGCCCCAAGGAGATGCAGTTTGCTCAGGACTGCAGTGGCCATCAGAGCTTGGCAGCACTGGAAAAGCTTCAACTTACCCACGAGGGCGAGCAGCAGGGCCAGGATGAGTCCCTTCATGCTAAAAGTGACTGAATTCCGCAGGGAAAAATCTGTGGCTTTTATAGTAGAATTATTAACAGGCACAGTGAATTTTGTTGAGTTATCAACTTCTTATCAACCACCCAAACCCTCTGAGGGAGAGGGGATCGGGGACAAGGCGATAGATGTTTTTATGAGCCAAAACCATCACGAGTACTGTTGTTCTCACTTCACCAGCTGAATGCCCTCAAAGTGCCTTCTGAAACAAGTGCTTAAAAGTATTAAAATACAGTTAAAGCCAAAAATTATTATTGTGTGGGAAAAACTACTAACTATCATTCCCTGGAAGCACCCGCTGCTATTGCAGTCTGTGCTGACTTTGCCCAGGTTATCCTGACCTGACCATAAGACACAGAGCTTATCTAACTGATAGTGCCCCAGCAGGATTGTGCAAAAGCCCCGGGCAGCCCTCCTGTGACACTGTGTCCATACCCACCCTGCTGCAAGCAGGGCAGGCTGTCAGCACTGTGCTGCTCTCTGGGGATGGGGGCCACCCAGTAACACAAACTTCCTGTCGCTGTCATATAGGCTGTGGCTAAATGCTGCTGTTGTCCATGCTTCCTTCACCTGCCTTCTCTTCCAGGGCTAACACTCCAGCCCCTTTCAGAGTGTGATGATTAGTCATAGACAGGTGTTGGCAGGGGTTGCCTCACAAGGTGGAACAGGTGAGGCTGACAGGCTTTGCAAACACAAACCGCTTGGTTTAACAAATGTGGACAACGTGTAGTTCACCCAAACTCATTTCATATCACCCAGCAAGGGGTGGCATCTTCACCTCACAGTGGAGCCTCTTCCTCCCATTGGTAGGCATTTTGCCTGTTCCTCTGGAGGCAGCCCCACAGGTCCCTCAGGCTGCTCTTGGCTCCACGGTCTGGCCTGCTCCCCAAGTCCCTTGGTACCCACAGTTAGGTCATGGAGCTGTGCACAACCGGAGCAGCCGGAGTCACCCACACCACTCCATCAGGGACCTGCACAGGGAGGTCTAAGGCAGCCCCAGGACTGAGGGGTTCATGTCAGCACTATGTGGCCACCACCATTTGCCCACAAACCTTCTCTTTTGTGGGTGGGGAACCGAAACTGCTGCCCAGCTTACTGTGGGAAGGGACTGGATTCAGTTTCTCATCAGCAGACCAGTGGCTCCTATCCAAGACAGCTTAGTTTTTGTAATGCTCTTTAGCTGATTGTTTCTTATAATTGGCAGTTGGGATATAATTTATAATGTCTGGTGGATTTTGTTCCTAGATCAAAGATTGCATCTGTAGGGTAAAAAAAAAATAATTTTGAAGCATGGCAAATCCTTAACCATGTTTTTACTGGCACTATATTCAGGTCCTGTTTGTTTTAAACCCTTCCCTTGTAAAATTGGTAGCACATGATAGAAAGCCAAGCCATTCACTAAAGTTGTGTCATGTCTTTGGAGATTTGGTAAATGTAACTAAGGGATTTCATATGCAGCTACTAGTGACTGGTACTCAAGGCTCAAAAGCTAATTTATTGTGACATAACTATATGCAGCTGCACAGGGCTGTTTTTTTAAAAAAGCCCACCTTGCAGGCAGCCAGAACTTGAGGTCAGTGGAGCAGAGAGTTGCTGTGATGATACATTAAATGCAGCTATACTTGTATTCTCGAAATTATAACACTGTATCACTGGAACACCACACTGTAACAGTGACTCCACAAACCATAACACTTCTCAAAATAAGGGTCCAGGCTGAGGACTGCACAGACTGTGCCCAGCCACAAGGGCAGGGTCTCCCCAAAACCCCCAGCACCCCATAATTTTGCCCCCATCCCACCCCATTCCTCACTTTGGGCAGCAGATGCTGCATCCCTGGTCACCCTGGCCATGCTGCTGCCATGGGGCATGATCATTTGTGCTTCTGCTTCAGGGGTAGGCAAAACCTGTTGGTGAGGGTTTCATCTTTGGAGATTTCGCTATAAAGTTGAGCCCTCTTATTTTCTAGGTCATTTCTTCAGTACTTCAAGAATGATTCCCAGCCTGTGCACCCATACACTCACAGCCCCTTCACGCTAGGATATAATCTGAGTCAGAAGGACATAACCTGCATTAAAAAGAGACAGGAAAGAAACCCAGAAACTAACAAATTGTGAGGATGACAATTTTGCTGTGCTCAGTACCTGCCCTGGACAATATTTCCTCCAAGGGGTGCTCAGTTCCCTCCACAATGGCAGTGGGGGAGAGAGGCAGAGGCTGGCTGAGGGCTCCCTGTAGCCCTTCGCAAGATGAACACCCACAGCCCATGTCCCCCTGCAGTCCCAGAGGTGCTCTGGCTGCCAGGGTGGTTTGGTAATGCTCACCCATGCGTCTCCTGCCAGGGTGTTACTGCTGGGCTCATCACATCTGAACACAGAGGCTGGAAGATTACAACCCCACAAAACTGTGCTCCAGCCTTGGCAGGCTGGGAAGAGATGAGCCCCATGGGCTGCCCCCACTGGGAGCTCATGCACAGCCCTTCATGGAGCCTGTCTCTGGGGGCCATGCAAAGCCCTGCCTTTTGCTGGGTTCAGCCTCAGGTTACCTGAGAAGTCTGTGCTTCCTCTCATTGCCCTGTGTGACTTCCAGGCAGCAGCAAACCCACCAGCTCATCACTTCGCTGCTGCTGGATAGTGCCCAAAAACTGCCTGCTGCCAGCTTCCCACCACTTTGCAGCACAGGTTACCATGACAGCACTTAAACTCTATAGAAATGTATATTTAGAACTTTCAAACATCTTTTAACACTAAGGATTTTGCCTTTCTGAACTATAAAACTCATATCCAAACAATAAAACTCACATATGTGCACCCTTTGGAGGAACCAAAGCTGATGGGAAAAGCAAAACAACACAATTTTTGCTGAATGCTCTCAAGTGTTTTCAAAAACACATTCACCCAGTTGCATACTCAGCCTGCAAGCACAGCCTTAAGGGCAGCAGAAAACATCTTCCAGATCCTTTGGAATTCTTTGTGTTCCAGAGCTCAGAGCAAACAATCATGTCCCTGACCATGCCCACACAGATCTGTGGTGGGTGGACAGGAGGCAAAGCCCACCTTGTGGTGGTGGCTGTGGCTACAACTCAGAGGTTGGGGCATCTCACCCGAAGTGCAGATGGCTCTGCTTCAGACCCTATGACAGGTGGTGTGCTTGGGTCACCCTACCCTGTCCTGTTCAAAGACCCCAGATTCACCCTAGCTTCTGCATGTGGTGCATCAAAACCATAACATGTTCTTGGCTCCCTCAGAACAGCCTTGCCCAGTGGCATGAGATTCAGGTTTATTCCCTGACCCCACTGTTCCTTACAGCAGCACTGGCTCATCACATAGCTATTGCAGAGCACAATGGCTGCATGGCTGCTGCAGAGGGTGCAGTGACACACAAGGGTGATCAGTTCCTGCTCCAGGTGCCCAGAAACCCAGCACCAGGGAAGAAAGGACTGGGGGAACAAGCAGGAGCCTGGTACCACAGTTACCCAACACATATCCACAGTGGGACCTGACATGGACAGGTGCCTGGTGCACAGAAGACAGTCACAGACTCAAGAAGTCTGTGAAATGAAGAGTGAGAAGAACTTATGCAGACCTCCTCATTCCATGGGCAGTGAAAAAAGGAAGCCTTCAGAATTCTTTTCCATGCATGGATTTATTACGAAATCAGATATTTATGGGCAATCATAACAGTTTCTACAATAATAAATTTTAATACTTTAAATTACTTGGGAAGATTCCACACATCCTCAAATACTTAATTTAGTATCTCTATTATTCTTTAAGATGAGTTTTTTTACACTACACAATAAAAACATGAAAGGGTTTCTGGTTTTTCCTAGCTGCAATGTACAGCTTCATGTGCTGCAGTCTTCGTTCTCACAAGAACATGCTATGTGTGCATCAACAGTGTCTTGCATATCTTCTGACTTCTGGTCAAACTTTGTCTGTTTGTCTGTCAGGCTGGTAGCTGAATCTGATGGGGAACAAGAGATGAAAAGTAAACAGTACACTTCAGAAGCAGTTCTGCAAGGTACAGCATTTACTATGCACTACTCATTAATTACAGCAGGCTTGGTTGCTCCTCACTGACTTACATACTTGTATTTGTCTAAGTCACACAGAGATGTTCCAGGAAACCCACTTAATTAATAACCCAGTTCTACCTTGAAAGCTACTACCTTCCATGTAGAATTTTACTAATGATACAATAGCAAAGGGTATTATGGTCTTTTAGACAAAACAAACTTGAAGAACAGACATGATTCTATGATCTATATAATCGATATCTACCTTATCAAATCTTTTATAATCTACAATATACCTATTAAAAATACATCCTCCTATATCACTGCACCTATGTGCAAGAATCCTGTCCACACCTGCCCTCCTAGTGCCAAAAATCAGCTCAGTGAGATAGGATCATGCCCAAAGGCAGTGATATATCAAAAACACAAGGCAAGGATCCTTGTTTCAGGGTGCTACATGTGGCTCAGCCCTCACAGGCTAAAGTACACAGGTTTTCAGCTGAATCACAGTGTTGACTGTGCTGTTACCCTACCCTTACCTTGTTAGCGTCAAGCACAATAAAGGGGAGTTCAGTTTAGATTTCAAATTCCAGTCTGATGAAAATCAGTTAATTTACAAAAGAAAATCATCTCTCTCACTGAAGGAATATTTACATATTAAAAAAAACAAACAGGGAAAGGACTTCAGTCAATATGGCAGTAAGTCAATGTGACTGTGTTAGATTATTCATATTTTTCAAGTGGAATAACTAAGTCAAGTCACAAGCTATTTATGCTTTTGTTCAGCTCCTATTCAGTAGGATTTCTGTTGCCTTACCAGCAGGGAGACAGTGGAAACCAACAGTGACTGGAGTAGTCTTGGTGGCAGAGCATCCTTTCACACAGCGCAGCACGGGCTCTGTGGAATAGCACTTGGACTCTACCCCGGTGAGCTGAACTGTCTTCTCCAGCTTCACAAACGAATGTTGCAATTTGCAGGCTGGAACACAGTCATTGGTGATAGTTTATGTGCTTACATTCAAAGGCTCCAGATTTCCCCAGAAGGACCCATCAGCCAACACTGCCAATTCACAAACAACTTCCCTCTGTGAAAACTGTGTTTTGATCATAAACAAAGCAGCTTTACTGTCTGATAAACCTTTCAAATCAGCTAGTTAGATATGGAGTCATGGAAAGTTAAGGACGTATAAACATAGTCTGATGTACTTTCTAATAAACATTTTTCAAAGTAAACTGGCTTACTGAATAGCAGATCAAACTGCATTTTGAAGTGTTGAATATTCAACAGTGGAACTAAAGGGAAGATTTCTGACCACATAAAATTAATCCCTAAAGAACTGCTTTATTATCACTGTCATTCTGACACAGAATTGCTGCAGAGAAAGAGCAAAACTCATTGCTGCTCGCCAGTCGATCTCATTTTGGATTCCCAGAACTAACAGTACCAAGCGAGAAGTTAAACCTACCACAATCTATTCCTGACTCTCAGTTTTATTCTCTAAAATTCCAGCCATTCCCACCATATGTTAAATGGAAACACACTATGTGGTGACTACAAACCACAGGAATATGATTGTGCATTATTATATACATGTGGACTCCATAGCCATCTAAAGCAAGCTTGATGCCCAGTATTCATGACAAAGATATAGAAAAATAACAGTTAATGCACAGCTAAACATGTACAAGCCATTTCCTGGGGCCGAGGATGTCCTTCCCACCAGGACAAGTCTCTACAAATGCAACATGCCTGTTCTCCTTGAGCACTATGGTGTGATGTTGCATCATAACCTCAGCTGAGAGCATCAGCACACCGTAAGATCCTAATCTACTGAAACACTTAAAATGCAGCTTTTTTTATTTCAACCATGTAATTAAGTCCTTGGAACTGCTCATGCACCTGAATGGTTTGCTTGACAGGTTGCACTGGTTCAGAAATCAGGTGGTCAGCCCTGGTAATGACTACGAATCCCCATCTGAATTTTTGATGGGTCAGTTGCTGAAAATTGATGTCTGGAAAATGCTCTTGTGCTTAAATCAAAACATTCCATGTGAATTTATCCTTTTACTTTCTTTCTTTTTTCCGATTTTCTTCTAAAATACTTTATATATTTTATTTAATTTCAACTGACTTGTGCATTTTGGCTTGTTTAACCTGTAATTCCTTGTTCCTTTCTCAACTGGCAAGGAATTTTAACACTTATTATATAACTTAAAAATGAATCTTTTGATATGCTTTTATTTCCCAAATGTTTACAGATTTTAATTCTTTAGACAAGATCCTGCATTTTCTAAACAAGTGCAGTCAAATTAAATTTATTAGAGCTTGCATACCTCCTCTGCAAGACTTTCCTTCCAAAATCCAAGAATGCCCAAAGCTCACTGCATCTTTAGCTAGGTATCCATTGGGCATCCGATATTCCTGCTCACACTCTGCATCATATTTTCCACATATTCCACACATTTTCCCTGCCATCCATAAAGCAACTTGAATCTTTGAGAGAAAAAAGAGAAAGAAACATTTCAGGTTAAACACTGTAATATGTATGGAGCAGATTTTTGCTATGCATGTCCCTTCCAGTTAATGCACAAACATTTAAAACTTCTTTGGTAAGAATTCATCAGTCAGATGCCAAACTCCTGTGGGGCTGCAGCATCTTTAACTGCTACAGTCTTTAAAACCTACTGTGCCAGTCTAGTATGTTTACTTAATAATATTCTAGCCTATTAATATGCTGCAGCTTTTGTCTGGTGGATGTTTGATAGTATAGGAGACAGACACAGTATGGTTTACTGATCTCTTGCATTCCTGTTTTCATGTTATTTTTAGTACAGGCTTTAAAACATTCATTTATCTAAAAGATTGGCTGCGTTTTTGCTGATTTGAAGAATTCTGCAGCTGTAAGAACAGTGAACAGAAGCTGAAAACTCATTTTTCTTGCAAAGGCACTGCTGACTCAGTGTGTGTACACTTACTGACCCACTTCCCAGTACACACCTGTACTGTGAGATCAAGGTATTTTTGTTGGTGACAGATTCTCATTTCTCCCACTCAGAAATAAAGAGCAGGACTGTGCAATCCTTTAGCATCACCTTCCCTTTGGGTATTTTTGGGCCCTGCACACATTTCACTTTGCCACTGTATATTCTCGCATGCATACATACAGACTTAAGGGAATGCTATGGAATTTTCTCAACACCCAAGCTTATGAAGAGGAAAAACAATACCCTGAATGTATATCCATCAAAGTACAGTTTATCAATGCCATAGGCTGGGGCAAGAAGTACAAGCCCTTGATTTTCACTGTGGATCCACAGAGAAGCACCTAGAAGAGAACAAAATAAAATGAAGTAGAACTAAAACAAATCCAGACCCAACCTAGCTTCCTTAAAAAAGAAAAAAAACAACTGTCATGTTTCTAAAAGGTTCTTTGCTTCAGAATTCCTCAATTGCTCTATTCAAGAAACAAAACAAAGCAAAGCAACATAGAAATGTGCATACCTAGAAAATAGGTGTTTGTAAACATACTCATGTTTATTTCTAGAAATAATTACAGAGCTGTCTATAGTGCATGTGTAGCCGTGCAGATAGATAAGGCCCCGAGTACACTATATTGGAGTACAGAAATACAAAGAACATCATGACTGTCACTGCAGCCATTTCTAGCACAATTATCACTTCCCAAGTACCTATGAAATAGGACAGAGCTCAGCACTGGCATATGCTAACCCAATTTCAGCATATTTAGCCCAATTCATATACTACAGCTCTACAGTCAGGGAATACCCGTGCTGTATATAGCCCCTGACTACACAGCACAGGATGAAACAAGGTCTTCCTGTACCTTTCACAGAAACAAACTATTCCTGCTTTGAGAGAATCGAGCAGGCTCTTTTACCAGCTCTCCATACCTATTCCTAGCAGATTTCAGAATGCAAGCCAAATTTATACCTACAAATCAAATTGGGAAATACATTGACATAAAAGTCACATGTGGTGAATTTTAGAAAAGCTCTACTTCAACAAGTTTTATTCAAGCAAGATTTTATAGCATAACCAAAACACTTCTCAAAATTGGAACTCCAGTAGGAGCTGCAGTGATGTTTGAAAAGGAGGGATCTTCATGGTAGTTATATCTTGTTTATTCTCACACACTAATCAATTTTTCTAAATATTCCTATGTAAGTGAGTTAAACACATGGTCTTAAATATCAGCCTTAAAACCAAAGTAACACTTATTAAATTCAAACTGATAAAATCTCTTTCATAGATTCTTTCCTAGATTCTTCTTCTTCATTTCTTTCTTTCTGTCTTTCTTTCTCCTAAAACACATGTGAAATTTAAACAACAGATGCTGCATCACTTACCAGCAGATGTATATGAAACATTCGTTGTGGGGCTTTCAACCCCATCTACCAGCAGCTTCACCTGGCCTTTTGCAGGAAGCATATCGATTTCACTGTTACAAGGAGAAGAGCATTCTTACCCCATTTGTCTCACATTCACACGCACTCAAAGGCATTTTCCTGCTCACTAAATATCACTGGTCATACCATAAGCTCATTTCAACTACTTAAATTACATTGGGGTATTCTTGTCACATAAGATGCAGGATAACAGCATCAGCATCACATTCAATATGCATGGAAAGCAAATAAAGGGAATGCTGAAATCCCATGGGCTGCTAACCATTGCAGTAAAGCTCAGAATGAAGCTCCTCTTGTGTTAACTCTGGACAATGTGGTCCCTCATGTTCCCAGCATTATCTGGCAGGAGTTACTTACTGAATGCCAAGCTTGATGTTGATTGCTTTCAGGTTCACAGCTTCGTCAGCATTCCTCATCATCACCAGGAACTTAAGGTCAGAGCTGCAATCCTGAGCCAAGATGTGGTAGCAGTTTGCTGGCAGTGTATAGTTAAACTGAACTTCATTAAAGGTTGTGATCTTGTTGTAGGAAACCGAGCAGCGAGCTGGTTACATAAAATGCCAGTGAGTATTTGCTTTTCCATAAAAGAAAGCCATTACATTGAATGTCTTATTTTTAGTACCATATTATTTTAGCTTTATATTTTTTCCGTGATGTGATATGCTACTAAGCACACATAAGTTCTTTAAAAGGCATGGAAAATATACTCCTTTATCTAACAAAAAATAACTGCCAGAAACTTTTAATATTATCAATTCAGATAACTGGTATCTTGTTCCCTAAAATGCTGATGATTTCTGTACTATATGTACAATATTTTCTCCCAGTTGAACCATCCTCACATTGTTACAAAACATTTCCAAATAATTGGAGATAAATAATCCCAGCAAAATTCAGAAGGTGCTCAGGAAAATCATGAGACTGAGGTTGGCATGCTCTGACCTTTCAAATGCTCAAGCACTGCAGAGGGGGCTTCAGCAAAGACATTCCAGATGGGAGGCTGCAGCTCTGAAGCTGGTATCCTTGGACCTACAGGAAGTGACAGGGGAAGCCTCATGGCTTTTTCATAGAGGGTAATCTGAAAGGGAATTCAAAATCACATTCAAAATACTGTCTATTTTTGTTTGTTTAGGGTTTTGGTTTGCTTTGGTTTTGTTGGGGTATTTTTTTGTGCCAGCAAACAGCTAAGATCAGCTTTTTCTCCTATTTAGGCTTTTATTTCAATTTCTTCTACTTTGGTTGACAAAGCCTTTATGTGAACACAACTCATCTGATTCATTGTCCAAGAGTTTTTTGCTTTTGCTTAATTTTCCCTCACAAAGAGAAATTCTTCAGGTATTATCTGGGAGACAATGAATTACTCCCTTTCAAAGGTGATTAGGTGAACACTTAAGGAACTACTACAGATGGAAACCCATGTCATCATGAGTACCCATGTCTCTCTCTATGAACAGAATCACTAGATTATTCTTGCATGTAATATTAAAGATTAAAAATAAATAAATGTTGTTTTCATCATTTGCATCCAAACTGATGCTTACTTAATTTTTCTTTCTAAGAGCTGACCCACTGTAATTAAAATGCAACAGTCCCACTTTTCTACTAGGGAAAAAACAGGAGAGTGATAAAAGTATTTCATAATTACATCAGGAAGCTTGATAACAACATCACACGTCCTGGGAGAAGTTAGAGCCACGATCACCCTGGCTTGTCGAGAAGGATTCTTGTCCACTTTTTCAGAGAACCCCAGCATAAATGCAGCCCCAGGGATGAACTTGTAAAACCTTCAAAAGTTCAAATCAGAGAGATTTGCTGAAATGAAGCAAAAACCTGCACACGTCCCAACCAGTTTGTCTCACAGCTGTGTATAAGTAGCATGGCTCAGTCTTCAGGATCACTGATTAGGTCCTCATGCCCACTCTCTGCTTTACTGTTCAAGTGTTCAGTGAAAGGAAGCTTTCCTCAGCTTTCAGTAATTATGTCCAGTATAAAGAATTACTGTACATCACGATAAGATGTAATCCTACTCAGTCTTTATGTATAAAGGCAGTACTCGAACAGATCAGAAAATACAATATTAGCCAGTACTTTAGCCACTGGAACCTCATGGGTGGATGCTGATTTTTTCTCAGCTGACTGATACTGTGAACGAGTATCACTGAAGACTAAAGCCTTACCATTCTGCTATGGATCTGACACTGGAAGGAACTTTAGGCCACTCCAATTTGACTTGTACAGCAGGATGGGCAGCAAACCGCCCAGTTACCAACTCAGTTGAAATCTTGTAGTCCTGACAGTTCCGTCCCCATTTCAGGTAAGCCTACAATGGGGAGATAAATGGTTCATTTTTTAATGCATGGAACATGATTTTCCTGTGGTGAATACAGCTGCAGATAGCTATTTTTGAGCCTTACCATTGCCTTGTGAGCATTGAGGACTGAAGCATCAGCACAGAGCTTCCATTTGCTTGAGTCTGTGAGGTTGGACACAAATACCTGCAGTCTGGGCTTGATGGAGTCAACATCAGCATATACCACGAGCTGGAGGCCTCCTGTCTTCTTATCGTCACGGATGCCATGAAGAAAAGCAGCTAATACTGGTGTTTTAACATCTCCCAAAAACTTAGGCTAAGAAGAAGGGGGAAAAAGTATGCAAAGAGTAAAATTACCAAAGACTTACCATGGAACATTTTAGATGCAAGCTCTAAATGGATAAATGAAAAACAAACAACTGAACCACAAATATATACCAGCATATGCACCACACATATGTACATGCCTATAAACTCTTGTGCTTATGCCTTTAATGGGCACGTGCCTCTGCATGCACAGATGGATTTTGTCACTGTATTTATACAAGCCAAAATTTGTGCTATTTCCTGAGCTACAGCTGATACCATGGAAATATTCATGTAATTAAAATACAGTAATGACTATGTGATTTGGGGTTCGTTGTTAACACCCAGCCCATCAATAAAGGCAAGTGGTTCAATTTGAACAACATCAGCTGTCAGTTGTACACATCAGTCATTCTCACAGCAATAACATCCCTCAGGTAGCTTCCTCTTGTTTATCTCTCTGAGGGGCCTGTTGGCTTTCACCTCACTCTTTGGCTGTGAGTTCTTTGGGGTGGGCAGATTTTGTGTTTGCACAGACACTCAGCACAGAATACAATCCAGGACATTGTCTTCAACACCAAGAACCTCCTCCCTTGGAGCAAGGCCTTAAGTGTGCTATGGCCTTCAATTCCTTCACTCCATCATTAGTAAGCCTGCACACATCCAGCTGGTGGTGGTGAGGAGCCCAGGTGCTACACGGCCCCTCTAGAGCATGCCACAGCCTCAGCTGCCACCACCAGTGTCCTCACACTATCACTGTAGGACCTCAATCTCCCTCCTAGTTACAGAGGTCACAAGATCAGTCACTGCAGTCATCTGTTGGGTGGGATTCTCATGAGGGAAAGGTCATGGTGCAAGTAAGAAGGATGCTATGGTGTGTGTCCCCTCTTGACTGATACCTGAGACTTGAGAGGCTGGCATTTCTACCTTCCCATTATCCTAGATGTACAATTACTGTGAGTTCATGGCCACTCTGCCCTTCTTCCAAGCTGACAAAACCCCCTAAAAATGATGCAACTAACCTGGGAAGCAACTCGAGATGAGGCACGACTGGATCTGCCAGAGGAGTATGAGCTGCTAAGTTGGTCAGTTTTTGGGAACTGCAAGAAGAAAACACAACACCCTCAAAAAGGTAACTTAACAGCATGCTTGAAGAAATTGCACTAGTCAGTGCTGAAGAATACTTCCTGTCATGGCACTTGGTGTAAGTAAACTTGTGTTCCAACTCTGAGCAGCTCAGTGACTTGCAATAGGCTTTGTCCTGCTTAGTATATGTGATCTACCTCTGAAAAATCTTGTTTGCCCCAATATATTTGACCCCTCAGAAGAAACAAATAAGGAACATGTCTAGATGAGAATTCCCTGTATGAAAAAACAATGGACCAGATCAAATCAAATGTAACTAGCCTCTTGATTTAATGTGAAAGACCAGAACTGATTCATTTTACTTCTGCAAGGGTCTGATCAACTGAATGGAAAGGATCATCTGAATGGACACACTCAGCTGAACTTTTTACTTTTGAGGGACACTAATATTATGGCTTATGCCCTAGTAAGACTCTGCTAAACCAAAATACTATAAAATAAGGAGTCCTCCTGCATTTGTCAGCACCACTATCCTGGTGTGTACCAGCAGTGACTTTAACCCAAGAAACCAAGTGATCAAAGCCAGTCAAATGACCCAAGCTTTTCATGGCAGGATCTTTGGTCCTCCAAAGTGTGCAGCTCCAGTCCTTTGCACTGCTTTGGTAGAGGCTTTGCATCTGCTTTGCAGAGCCACAAGTGACATCATGTGCACAGCACAAGGGGGAACACAGCTGTCTGTCTTTATGCATCTCAGAAGAACCACCAGAGTTCTGATATCAGAACTGTAATTTTCCTCAACAAAGATAACAAGCTGCCTTTAAGGTCTCTATTTGACTCATGTCAGATTCCACATTTCTTTTACAGAGGAAAGAAAAACTTACCTCTTGTCTATGTGCTGATTTAAAGCGGTACTGATAAATCTCATGAACTTCCTTTGAAAATTATAAAAACAAGAAGATTAAAAGTTTCAGATAAAAAGAAATGCTGAATTATATTGAAATCTGAGCACTGGGAATTAAGTAAAAATTTTACTAATTATCATTCATACATAGTTCTGTTTGCTTAGTCACAAGCACATGAGTATGAAGGTGAAGTAGGTTATATAAAGCATTAATGTTTCTACTACAAAATTAAGACAGAATCATGCAATGTCTATGGATAGTAAACTGTCAAAAAAAAAGGTTCATTTCCTGCAACAAAAGTTTCAACAAACTTGTGGAAACTTTTGAGATGCTTTGAAGTAGACATCTGAGGCAATGATTGCAGGTGTGTTTGCAGAATAAATTTTGCAATTTTATGTTGCTGAAATTCACTGTGTCAACTCCTCGTTTCTTGATTTGTCATGCAAAGCCAGCTGCCATCAGGAATGTGATTCACAAACATTAACAGCATCAGTCAATTTACTGACAAAGTTACCCATATTTTGGAATATGTGCTGCTGCTGCTGCTGCTGCCACCTTCCAGATGTCCTGAATGATGTCCATGGCTATGGCGACTCAGTGACTTACTGCTGCTGCTGCTGCTGCTACTGCTGCTGCTACTGCTGCCATTCAGATACTTTGAGTGATGCCCATGGCTATGGTGACTCGATGACTTCCTGCTGCTACTACTGCTGCTGCTGCTACTGCTGCTACTGCTACTACTGCTGCTGCTTCTGCTACTTTTGTCACTGCTACTACTGCTGCTCTTGCTACTTCTGCTACTGCTGCTACTTCTGCCACTGCTGCTACTACTGCTTTTGCTACTGCTGCTTTTGCTACTGCTGCTTTTGCTACTGCTGCTTTTGCTACTGCTGCTTTTGCTACTGCTGCTTTTGCTACTGCTGCTTTTGCTACTGCTGCTTTTGCTACTGCTGTCACTACTGCTGCTACTGCTTTTGCTACTTCTGCCACTGCTGCTACTACTGCTTTTGCTACTGCTGTCACTACTGCTGCTACTGCTTTTGCTACTGCTGCTTTTGCTACTGCTCTTCCCACTGCTGCTGCTGCTTTTGCTGCTGCTCTTGCTACCTTTGCCACTACTGCTGCTGGTCTTGCTACCTTTGCCCCTACTGGTGCTGCTCTACTACTGCTGCTGCTCTTGCTGGTGCTACTCTTGCTACTTCTTCCACTGCTGCTGTTGCTGCTTGCATCTTTATTTCCCCCTTGCTTTTCTTGCTCATTCTCATCGTCATCCAGGGCCTGTTTTCGATCAGGAGAAACAGCAGATGATGAGGAAGAGGAGACAGTTGAGGAAGCAGAAGATGAGCTGGAGGGATGTTTTGCATTGGACTCCGTCCCAAGCTCTGTTAGCACAGTGTTTGCTTTCTTTGATGGTTGCTTCTTCTCGCGTCGTGTTTTATTTGCAACCTGCAAAAACAGTTCAAAGAGAAGTGCAAGAGAGATGATACATCTGGTTCTGTATTTACAAAGTAAAACTTCTGTGGGTGTCATACAAGCTTCTCACATCAGCCTTTCATGGAACAACCACCTCCCTACCTCACTGTAGAAGCTGCAGAACTCCCTTAGATCCCCTTTACTCAGCTGAAATCTAGGTCAGCAGAGAAAAGCACCCCATAAAATCAATCCAGATGTGGCACTGATTGACAGGCCTGGCACTGGCACCTTTCAAACTAGTCCCATCCTTGTTTTCCCATGCCAGATTTCCACAATGAATGTCTAATTCTTGGTTTCATTTAAGTGAAAATATTCCCCTCTCCCATGCTCCATTTCTCTTGCCTTGAACACCTTCTCAATGCCTAGAATCTTCTTCAGTTTAGCTTGAATGTCCTCAAATGGAGATGACCCATCCTCTTCCTCAAACTCCGAGTTTCCTTCATGAATTATTTTGGAAGCTGCTCTGGATCCTGCCTGAATCTCCAGCTGAATTTTGTCGATATCAGCATCTGTTTCAACTACACACCAATTGCACAGATTAGAAGATTATACTGCTTCAAGTAGCACCAACAAACCTAAGACAACAAGGCTTGTGCTCAGTATTTTACCTGGGATTGAGACTATTTTAGCTTCATGTTCTCCAATTAATCTGTGCAAATACGTGTTCTTTAGGAAACTGGCATCTCGGGACCTTCTGGAAAAGCAGAGCTGACAACCAAGATGATGCAGTTTGATGCAAATGTCTTGTTTATGAGTTTTTCTTCCTATGACATGATGAAGATCCTCTTGAGAGCTATAGGCATTTTTCCTTGCCGTGCTGTCAGCCTCTTGCTGCATTGAAGATGAGTATGTGAATACCACTGGGAGTTTGTCACAGGCAAGAGTAAAACTACAGACATGCATCACAGAGATGATAAATATTACTGGATAAACAAAAAGGAATAGGTTACCTTTGTGAAACCTTCACTGGAAGCTGTCTCTGATGGTTTGAAAGGTTCTTCCACAATACTTGATGAAGCATCTCCTGGGAGAATTGAGGTCCTCTTTTCAACACCTAATTCTCCTATATTTCTTGATACAGCAAAAGCCTTATGTCTGTTGAGATATATGCAAAAAATGGAGAATTGTTCCAACCCCTTGTCTCTGGATTAAATTAAATACATCCCTGTCAGCACATGCCTGTAGCAGCACAGAGATATGCTGTTTGAACATAAGGATTGTTTAGGAATTTATAAGTATAAATATTGAAAACAAATAACAGCTCATGACAAATATAATCTCCTTGCATCACAGGAAGTTTTCAAAATCTGGATAGATTTGAGCAAGTTTCCAAAATATTAAAAACATTAATTCAATCATAAGAATTAAAATCCCTAAAAGACAATAAAAATATTAAGAACACTAAATAATAAACAAATCAAAATAAAAATTAAACTGCTAAATAATTCAGGTATCTTTTGACTTTTAGCTCCCCTATTTTTCTTTCTTTGGCTTTATCTCAAAGGTTCTGTTAGATGCTGAAGAGTCACTCTGCCTAATGTAGAAACCTCCAGGAGGTCAGTGAATAGTTAACTGTGTCAGGTTTCAGCAACACAAAGTATTCTGAAGTAATGCTACCATACCTTCCAACCACTATCTCAGTTTCCTCATGGCATGGATTTGTTTCAACCTTAATATTTTTCAGTTTCATGTCTATCTTGGCATCAAACTTCACTGGTAATCTTGCCAGGACTTTGCCTTGAATTTCAACAGTGTGTTGGAAGTATTCTGTGTTGACACCCATTGTTGCAAATGTCTGTACATATAAGCTGAAACAGAGTGAAGCAGTCAGATGTAAGAAAGGTGTTCCTTTTACACATGTGGTTCTGCCTTCTCTTAAAAACCTCTTTCATATGTAAAGCCTTAGAAACTTGCCATACCTTGGGTTTATGTCAGACTGAATCTGCACAGTGGATTCAAGCAACTGTGAAGGTTTAAAATCTCCAGTTAAAGAGGGAGTTATCTTTCCATCAACTGCAAATGAAAAAAAACCCCAACATTTAAACATGGTAAAAGTGAAACAAAGGAGTTGAACATAGGCAATCAACAGTTTTGAGTAAGAAATAATATTTTGGTTAGTACAACAAAAATACGGTTGGAAAGACTTCGGGGTACATGAACTTTTTTATGAGACTGAGAATATACAGAAAGCTTGTTCTGTAGGAAAAGGTCCTGATGCAAGACACTGAAAATGGAAATAAAAATATATGAATAAAATGAAGACCTGACCCAAATTGAAAGTTTGATAATTAATATAACATTAAAATCTCAGAAATGTGAGGAGTCACAAGACAGAGTGAATGAAGAGCAATCAGGCTAAACAAAAGCTGCTCTCCAATCTTTCCTCACATCAAGTGTGAACATCTTTCCTGTACTGGGGACCCACAACTGGACATTGTACTCCAGATGCAGCCTCAAATGCGCTAAATGGAGGAAGGAAATAATTGTTGTACTAGCTCTGCTCTTGACACTGCAGCCAAAGATGCAGTTGGCCTCCATCACCACAAGAGCACACTGCTGGTTCACTGTACCAGCCTGTCCTGACCTTCCCAGCCCTTTTCTGCACCACTGCTTTCTGTCTGGGTGATACCCAGCCTATACACTTGCATGAGTTACTCCATCCCAGGTGAAGGACTTTGCATTGCCTTTGTTTAATTTCATCACACTTCTGTCAGGCCATCCTCTCCAGCCTGTCAGGGTCCCGCTGACCCTTCAATGCAGCAGCTGTTCCCACCAATTCAATGTCAATATTGACACAGATGTGCTGAGGGTGCCTTCTTTCCCAAAGTTCAGATTTTTAAAAGAGAGAATGAGCAAGTGCCAATGGCACAGTGGTAACAAAGCCACCAATTAGCCTGTCACCTGTTTGACTGCCCTTGGAGACCAGCAGTCTGGACAACTTTCATTCATTTTGTAGCCCATCCATCCAAACCATACCTCCTCATCTAGTCTACAAGGATGCTCTTTTTAAAAATTAAAAATGCACACAAGACAAGGGGCAGAGGTTCAAAGAAGTTATTTAAGCAAACTAACAAACCAAAGAACAATAGCAGAGAAGAGAGGGCACATAGGAGTGCACAAGTACATGCACTTCACCCTTCATTCCTTATGTGGTGTCAGCAGATGAAACGGTCAGCTTTGCCTAATTTACAAGTCTGCCGCACAGCAAACAGTATGATCACTGAATTAAATTCTTGATGAGGATTTGCACTTGTATATTTATTCTTTTAAAACAGAGCTCTCATCTCTTCACAAATCCTCTTCTCTTCCTGCTGTCTTAACATTACTAATAGTTCTTATTTGATTGTCTTTATTTTCTTCTCTGTTTAAATCACCATTGAATCCTGCTTAGCTTGAGTGTGCATCTCACAGGAGCATCTCACAGGAGCCACCCCCCTTCTGCCCATGTCTGTATTGGCTCTCCAGGCAGCTCTTGTTTTTTCTGGCCTTGAATGCTGTGACCTTTCTGATTTCTCAGATCCTCACCTCACCTTTTCTGTCTCCAATCCATTCAAAGACAATGCATAAATCACGGCATCCAGCTTTTCTTCAAAGACCTTCACTGTCTCCCCTCCACCACAAAAACTAGTTCTTTTTCTAACTTCCTGCTTTTCCACTTCTTTTTCCAGCCTCTGTCATCCCTTGCTCAGAGCTTGCACAGCTGATCTCCCACTCCTAACTCACCACTGACTGCTGCCCGGGCCAGAGCAGTAGTGTATGACCCGTACTCCAGGGGCAGACCCGTGCAGGTAGGAACGATGTACCGCAGCTCTCCCAGCCACAGCGGCTGTGTCCACTGCCCTGCAATGCCATTGCGGAACTGGCTGGCAATTTTCTTCAGCACTGTGTTCCTGTCAGCTGGTTCTATCACAGCCTGCAGTAAAATAGGGATCCAAGACATTGGGATATGAAAGTACAATGGTGCCAAATACTGCAAGGAATAGTAGGGGTATCTGGTACCTTCGCAACCTGTTGTAGGACTTCCTTATTGATGTTGATGTAGGCCAGCTCTTGGCCGAAGAGTTTCAAGTAGGCTGATATCAAAGGGGTTTCTGTTGGCAGCTCCTTCCACCCCAGCAGCTGGGAAATGGATAAAGAAAGAAGTAAATTCCCTTAATGCAACACTTCACAAATGGTAATTCAGCAAGGTGACCAAACCCAACACTGGCCAAGCTGCCATTTTCCATTGTAAAATTTCCCATTGTAAATTGCATGGTGACACTTTCTCCTGCCTTTGGGGTGCCCATGAATAGCCACTAGTCCAGTGTTTGGTATTTTTACACAGAGGATCTGGGCCATTAGTACCACTTAACCCGGTTTGAAAGCACAGCAAAAAACCTCATCTTTTCTCTTGAAGACAAAGATATATTCTTGTAAACTAGGTCAGGTAGATGAAGGGAGGGAGGAGGAAGATTGCCAGGCATATGACACATCGTGCTGCAATGCCTGTCACTCCCCTCCCCTCCCATGCTCCTTCTGCAGCCATCTACAAGGTGGGGAAGAGATGAGACAGAGCAAGAACTGGCAGAAGCTATCACAGCCATGGCAGATGTCTCCTGAAGTCCTACTGCACACCTCTCCTTCACAGAACTTCTTGAGCTGACTGCTAGGTGAGTAGTTTACCTTCTGAGACAGGACTTTACTAGTGTGAGAAGCCTCACTAAACACCCCTTCACTGAACACACGTTGCATTACTGAAAATACCTACAGCTTTTCCAATCTCCTTTATCTTTTTGTACGTGGGATATTCAGCAAATGGGATTTTTCGTTTTGTGATGACGTCTGTGAGGCCTTCCACACGGACACCAGCCTACCAAGACAGCATGAGAAGGAGCAGTATGAAACATACTTGCAGAGAAGAAGCTTCATGGTCAATTTTAATTTTTTTTGGCTTTATTATTGATTTAGGTAAATATTTACCTCCACCAAATCAGCCACTGCCCCTGCAGAATATGCCATCAGCTTGGAAATTATTGCCGATGGGAACATTGTTTCTGGGCTGTTCATAACAAAGACATCTCCAGCAGCACCAACTTTATAGTTATCTATGGCAAAAGCAAACAAAAGACACGTCTTTTTTCTAACCATTCTGCTTATCATTCAAGATCATATTTCTCCAGCTTGTTCCACTGCCAGCTATAAGATATATCATTACATAAATTCTAACTGCTAGGCAAAAATTAATAAATGGCTACTCAAGCACTTTTAAATATGTGACTCTCACATTTAACTTAATTTCTCATTGAAAGAGAGAATGCCATATCTCTCCAAAGGATTTAATATCTCTTAAGAAGGGATTTCTGCAGTCAAAGTTTCCTGGTCAGTGAAGCACATTACTCACCAAAGTAACCACCAATACGGATGACCTTGCTATACCGATAGCTCAGCCTGTCCAGTTTGGGGGCCAGCAGCTTAAGGGCAATATTGCAAGCTGAAGATCTAAATAAAATGAGAAACGTAATAGTATCCAGAAATAATCTGGAATATAAACAGACTTCAGTTGTCAGCACATGCAGTGCTCACTAAAAAGAGTGTAAGAGAACTCATTATTTGCAGAACATGCTGCTTTGTTCCTGTCTCTACTCACATGTTGTATGTGTATGGCAACTTGCTCTTCGACAGAGCCTTCATGTGGGAATACACAAAACTGGCCACTTGCAAATTGCTCTCCTTCATTGCCACATTTGCTATCGTGGTTATTAAAGGAAGGGCAGGCCTTGTCTCAAAGATAACGGCACACGCCATCATGCGCACTTCGGGGGGAAGAGACTGCTCTGCAAGGATCTGGATGAGATAGCCCTGCACCTGCAGAGAGAAAACAGTGTCTGGAGTTAGCAATAGCAGAGATAATTTTGCAGACTGGATCCCACCTAACCCATAAGAAATATGGAAGAGGGGGTCACTGCAGAAAGGTTTCCTGATCTTTTTTACTGCACGGCTCCACATCATTTTATTAAGGCAACTGTAGGGGCCATGGTGGAACAGCCCCATGGAGAAGGGCTGGCACTGAATCTGAAATAAATATCCACCTATAGATGTATTGAGTCAACCCACCACAATCAAAATGGCATCAGCACTGCTTTGTGCACTGCTGGTATTCAAGGATCAGTGAATAACTTTGGAAGGAACAACAGCAGATACTGAGACATTCATTGTTCGGAGTAACTCCACTGACTCGGTGAGCATGCTTCACTATTTAAGGTCAGTTATAAAAGGGGAGTTTCAGCAGTTCACCAAAGACAGTCTGAGTGGATGGTTTCTCATGCAGGACCTATATCTAAACCATCTGAAAGGCAGTTTTGCCTATACTCACTGTGGCAGCAGCCTCAGTGGGGGATCAGTGGTGACTGATCCAGCCTTAAGGGAAGAGTCTGAAAGAGGCAGAGCAATGCCAACATTTGCCTAAGAGTTTGACAGTATATCTGTCTCTCTCTCCCTCCTCCTGACTATACAGGGAGTTTAAAATTACATATTTGACTTTTAGGTGGCTAAATGTCCACTATATATAACTAGCACAGGACTTAACTGTTTATGACAGATGATGAAAGCAACACTTCTGATATCCTTCTGGAAGCTTCCTACTGACTAATAATCATTACAGCTTAGTAGAAAACATCAATTTTATTTCAAACTCTATAGTATCATTCTTACAAAGAATAGTTTTTTGATTTATCTACACAAATTACACCGTTAAATTCATTACCCTTAAAATATATGTTCTCTGATTCACTAAGAAAAGAAAATCTACCAAACCCTACTTACTGTTTTGGAGTCCTTCCAAGCTATTTTTCTCAAGGCCATTATGGCATCAATTTGAATGTGGATAGGGATATCAGAAGCACTGGATGAAAATATGGGAAGGAACTTCAGGATGCGCTTGATGCTGGCTGCTTCTCCCATGTTGCCAATGCACTTCAGAGCTAATTTCATTTTGTCCTCACGGCCCCTGCTGATCGCTTCATCTGCCAGGTCATGGATGGGCTGTAGACAAAGCACAGCTCAATCTTCTCTTCCTAATATATAGATTGTCCACAGTATTCCCCATACCCATTGAAAAGCCTGTCACAATAAAGCAACTGGTTTTGATAAAATCCCTCAGTGGCTGCTTCTCACAGGATTTTACCTTTAAGATGTGAAAACTGTGTTTTCAATGATGAAGCAAATATCCATATTGATAAAATTGCCTTTGTTCTGAAGGAGACCTATGAAGTGTGTATTTGTCTGTTCAATTGCCATTTTTAAACTGTATCTCAAAAGAATTAAGCTAATATAGTGGACATTACCCAGTTATTAAAAACAACTAGACAAAAAGTTGCCCACCTGAAGAGCTTCTTTAGGACAAGCTGAGGACCGAGAACAGTATCTATTGACCAGAGAACTGTATCCCAAGCTGGCAACTTGTTGAAGCATGGGACTTCTCTGGATTCGAGAACTGGTCACTAAATCCTGTAAAGCAACAAAATAAATAAATTAGTTAAATTCAGTGTTTCACAAAGTTTTCAGGGCGGGAAAATCATCAGATCTTGTCTGAGGGGATCAATTTCAGAATGATTATTGTTCACATCCAAACGAATTAAAATAGTTGGTAGACATTTTGCTTGGAAGCTTCACTTAGGGGCTTAATTCCCCACTAGTTTCTATATATATATAAGCTTACCTAGCCTCATTTTGATTTTCCTCAACAGAACGTAACACTGAAAACACAAAGATTATGGGCAAACATCAATGTATAAATGGAATGTCCTTAGAAAAATGTGCAACTCAACTATACTTATGTATTCTCACATCATATCTATTCCTATTTAAGAAGGACAAGAATTTTGACTAGACATGGCAAAAATCCTGTTCAGAATAACTGATTCATTATAATGTCAAAATACTTGATGTTTGCACTAACACTTTCACTTGCAGCACTCGCCAGTACATAGGAATAGTTTGCAATTAAAAGAGCTGTTCAAATGACATAACACACCAATCACCAGTTGTTTCAGAAGCAACAGATTGGAGTGGACAAAGGTTTGTCTGTAGAAGGCCAATGTACTAATGCCAAAAGAAATTCATGGTTCAATATTTGCACAAAATTAGTGTACAGAAAAGGAAGATCCAGTCTTGAATGTACTTAATAACCAAAGGTTGTCATCAATTGCAATTTCTTATGTTATCAGACAGGAAAGTTTCACATGGCTTTACTCACTGCAGCTATTGGAACAGTGTGTTCATCAGCTTTTGTTAAATGGAGAACAAAGGAAACACTTAGAAGAGCCTGAAGGTAGTTAAGGTCATCGTTGCGAATTCTGCTCTTAATGAATTTGAGAGCTTCTGCTGTGCCTGACGCAGACACTGCACTCAGCAGCCACCGCCTGCAAGCAGATTTTAAAAAAAATCCTTCATTTTAGCTCTCATTTCTCCAAAACTGGAAAAGTCTCTTGTAAGCTGATAAAACAAAATACCTGTAGCGGGGTTTGTCTGAAAGTTGTCTCCAGAGGGACTCCAGTGTGTCAGCACTTGTTATCCGGCAGAGCTGGACAAGCTCCAGGAATCGGTATGGAACATCATCATGGAAATCTTGTTGGTTATTCAGAACTATGTGCTGCAGTGTTTCAACTATCTGTTACAAAACATTGGGGGGGGCATAAGTAATGAAATCCTTTAGAACGTATGATCTTTACTCTTCTATTTTTATATATTTTTTTAATTGGGAAAGCAATCTGAAGACCTAAAAATACTCTACCCGCTGCTCAGGGTTTTTCGTTTTGATCAGCTGCAGTGGCATCTGTGGCAATGCTGCTGGGAACTGGTAGCGAAGGCCTCCATAGCTCTGCAAGGAAAGGTCTGGAGAGCTGCTCCGTTCACTTCTCACTTCAAGCAAGGTGAGTTGTTGTCTGTCATAAGACAAGTGTCACAGGAGGAAGGAATTAGCCCTCTTCACCCACCTGCCTCTGATGTTTGTTGGTTCAGTTTCACTCTTTCATAATTTTTATCACAGTAAAACCTTACAGTTTGCTAATGAATAAAGCCTTCCAACTGGAACAAAATGGTATTAGAGTTATCTACAATTAAGTTGTTTCCAAGGAGAAGCAAAACTGCCCAGGGAAGCGGTGACTGCCCCAACCCTGGCAGTGTTCAAAGCCAGGCTGGACGAGGCCTTGAGCATCCTGGTCCAGTGGGGAGATGTCCCTGCCCATGGCAGGGGGTTGGGACTAGATGTGTAAGGTCCATTCCAACCTCTAAAATTCTATGATTCTATGATCTTCTGAATAAGAGCTACCAGCTCAGGGTAATGAATGGTCTTATTTCTATATGCACCATCTTTCTCCTGACACTATAAATTAGCCCATTTTCAGGACAAACAAAGCAGTAAAGTTGCATTCTTATAGTATAAGTGAGAAAAACAGCTTTTGACCTTTTCTTCCATGTAGTTGCAAGTGCTAGGTTGACCAGGGTACAAATAAAGAATGCTTTGCTGAGCTTTTAGGACTGTGGAAACTCCTAGTGTGAGTTCTCACAGTTTTACCCAACTGCTATGGAACTCAATTCTCTTTTCACTTCAACTGGGGGTGAAAGGGAGTCATACAACCTATAATTATTCTCACTTTGTGAAGCAAACCCGTGTCCCACCTACCTTGCTTCTGTGACAGCGACACCGGTAGGTTCACTGAGTGGTGAAATCTGATACACCTGCTGCGACACCACCTCTGTGATCAGGGCACCACTGTCAGACTGCTTCAGTTTGTAGGAGAAAGCTGCAGTCCCTTTTACAAGCCTTTCTTTCTGGAAGAGGACAGAGAGACCGGAGGGGTGAATGGGAACAGAATGGCTGTGCTTGTAATTAGGAAGATCTTTTCACATCTCACGTACCATGATGTCAACAGGACAAGGATAGATGTAAGCCATTCCAACACTCTTCACCACTTTCTCCTGGCAATTATTCTGGTCTACAGTTTTGGTAACAGAGACTCGGCCGTTCTTCCTGTCTTCCTGGATGACATACCTTGTATGGCAAACACCTCCAATTCCAGCCTGGCAGATCAATACAGACAATGAGACTTCCCAGTTTCATCAGGATTTTACTGCATGAGAAGTTTTACTGAATGAAGATTCCGAATGAATAGTATTAGGGTTAGCACCTACTGAACAGTCTTGATTATGTTTTGAAACCTGTTACCATTACACACAATTATCCCTATTGAACTGAAAAATAGGCACATGAACAATACTCAAAGGTTGGAGTTTAAAATGAAAAAGTAATCAATTAATATCAACAATTAACAAATCAAATGGATCAAGTAGCTGTATACCAGGGAAGCCATATAACAAATAAATTCACAGCATAATTATTTTCTCTCCATTGGACTGCATGTTAAGACAAAGACAGATGTTTTTAGAAAGAATTCAGTCAGGTAATTTGTTCAACATATATACACACATTTTCTTCTATGTGAATGAAAATTATCTTTTTCTTACAAGGAACATTCAAAAGCAGATGCAAATAAACAGAAACTCAAAGGAAGAACAACTAAAGAGATCCTTTCAGTAAAGTAGTTTTGCAATGGAAAAAATACCAAACCTCTTGCAATTCATACACATTCTGTGACTTTTTGATGGTTATCTGGAGCATGTTCAGTATTCCTCTCACTATGTTAAGACACATATCAGGGCAGTCTTCTGGGCCATAAATGTTTCCAATCCGTCCACTACTGTATTCAAATTTGAAGGGACGGGTAAGGCACGAAGAAACCATCTGGGTGATTTTGGAAGATCGAGTGAATGGGTCCCTGGGCCAGATGCCATTGTATTCCTCGAATTGTGGAGAGCGGATCTGGGAGGAAAATAGGTGAATAAATTCACTTCAGTACTAAATATGCAAACAGATTGGAAGAAATTAACATACCAACTACTTAGATACTTTCTCCTACCAAATGTAGGCCTAGAAAGTCATACAGCAGTTTATTTTCTTGTCTCTTGCTTACATTATTGTAAAACAAGTGCAAACCCTGGGGGCTCAGCAGTGCTACTTTATCTTACAGAAGCAGTTAACATACCTCTATTATCTTCCAGGGACATGTAAAACATTTTAGTTACATTAACTCAATAGGGAGAAAGGATGATTCAAAATGCAATTTTAAAAAATTCAAATAAAACTATCTTTTTTTCAGCCTTAAAATACTCTGCTTTAGGTGAAATTGAGCTTAAATGCTAATTTTAAGTTTACCTCATTCTAAACATCAAAAATATGTAGTTTTATAATGTTCCATTCTAACTCATCCCCTTACAATATTTTTTTTGGCTAAACTAGTTACTATATTTGATTCATATTTGTGGATTGCTTAAATCAACCCAAATCTCTTTTTAAATAGTGAACGATGTATTTATAAACACTAAGGTACAACATAAATCAGAAGCAATTTCAGTAACTTTGGCAAAGTTACTGCCAGTTGAAGTGCCTCAGAGCACAGCCTGGTGCACACCATATAAGAACTTCAGGACGAAGTCTATAGTGTGAAATGCCCCTAATTTTGAGAGATGTGCAGCTCAACTACAGCCAGTGAGAGCTCTGTCACTGAAGTCAGTGCCCCAAGAAGCTCTGGTTTGTAAGTAAACAGACACAAGTATTTTTCTGTACATATTTATTTCCAATGAGTCAAGTCCTATCAATGCTGATGTCGGCAGAGCTATGATTTCATACATACAGATCTTTTACCACATTATTCAAACACTAAATATTATTACATGCCCTTTTCTTCAAGACTTTCATTTTTTCATCTTACTTTATCACCTTTATCACTTCTTAAGTCTATGTTTATTAATTGCCTTCACAACAATGATTTTATACACCCAAGTCCTGGCTTCCCACAGGGCTTGGAAATGTGTGCTGAGCCTAGAATCCAGTCTTAAACTCAGAGCAGGATTAAATGTGAGTTAGAAGTGACCATTTTCTAACAGAACCCCTGATTTTGGCACCTGTATTTCCAATACAAAGCCTCGAGGAACACCTGCTACAAACAACTTCCACAATAAACACGGGTAAGTGACTGGACACCAAATCACTCGTCACTTCTGAAACTGTAGCTGGAGATCATTCTCTGCCATCTACAGTGATAAGTCTCTGGTTGTGTTTCCTTCAGCTTTCCTACACTCCAGATTAGTCAGATGCAATTACAACTGTGATTTGATCTTACTGGTGCACAGCACGTTTGGAAGAAGACACATACCTTGAGGAGGTAAGTGCTCTCTGACAGCCCACTGATCTCTACTTTGCTGCTCAGACGCACACCAGCTTTGGCTAAATTCTTTTCCTGAAGCCCATTCAACACCCAGCCTTCATAGCTGTACAAGTAGCTCTTCCTGCTACTGAATCCAGGGTCTGTAGGAAATCATGGCCATTTTCACAATACTTGCAAGAATATTCTAACAAATAGAAATAATGACAGTCACCGAGAAAAGGTCGCAGAAGGAAATGTACTTACCAATATCAAATTTCTGGCTACCTGCAAAAAGAGATGGAAAACCAGATAAATAACACTCAGTCTAGAATTGATTGCTGTCTCTGTACTTAAGGAAATTTTGGGGAAGAAATGTGAAGAAGGGATATGTAGACTTACCTACAAGGCTGAGCACTAGTGCAAGTACGATTCCCCTCATAGTGAAGGTGAATGGGGCTCTGCCAGACACAGTGAGACTTTTAAGGAAGAAAGTTCAGGAACACGTGGCTGTGTTCTGCTGAAACCTCAAGTTTTTTATCAGTTTATGTAAACACTTTCCTTTTTGCAATCAGACTTTCTCTTCAGATGGAATAATGGAGATCAAGTCATACCTTGACATCTCACTGATTATCTCATAAGCCTTTTGCTGAATTGTTTAAAAGTTTCTACTTATCCTAGTAAGTTTTACTAGGTTATTTACAATAAATTTACAATAAACACATTACTTAATTTCCTAGGTTGTGTCACAGCTGGCTGCTGCTGTTTGGTCCTGCCACAGATTAGGCTGATTGTGCCCAGGTTATGCTGACCTGGCATCTGACCCAAACTGTTATCTAGCTGGTAGTGACCCAATTAACAGAGTCAGTATCACACACATTAACAGTGTTCTGCCTCTTCCCTCAGCATTGGTTTACAACCACCCCTGTAGACAGGAGACAAGCACAGATAACCCTTTGCTATATTCCTGTGTGCACCAAAACACACTGAACATTCTACTGAAAACCTATATATAAGAAATATTATGTATTTATTTAAATAAATCAGAAGATCAGTATGTCCCTTTCAGCTCTGGTCACACTGACCAGGAATATTTTTTAAATGAACAAAGATTTCATAAGCAATCAGTAACTATTTTATCTTTCAAGGTAAATGACAGCCAACTGTGAACAATTAAAAGCCACAGGGACTCTTCCGAGTGAAACAGGGAACGTGAGTGCAGGTCAGCTAGAACTCTTGCATTTCCTCAGGAGCCAAATACAAAATGCAGCCAAAGTACCTGAACTGCTGTAGGCTTGCAGCCAGCTCATCATGGCCTTACAGTGACAGGCCAGGAACACATTCACGAGGGTTCTGATCAAGAAATGTCAGGGCTATGGAGGCAAATGGAGGTGCACAAAACATGCTTGGCCTTTTTGAGCACAGTAACAGAAAACCACAGAAAGGGAGGAATGAGTCTGACCAATCCCCCAGACAAGTTGCATAGTCTTCCAAAGTGAGCTGGGTGGCATCTGGATCAACAAAAAAAGGCACAAAAATTGCACAGGGGTTTCTGAGCCAGAGGATGTTTCTGGAGAAGCAACTTCAGACAATGCAATAAACTGTGGGCTCTAAAGTCACACAAAACCCAGGAATCCAATTCTAACTCGACATCTATGACATACTGATTAATCAGACACTTTATTTCTGCTCCCACAATACTTTTGGTTATAAGATTAACCACAGGAGTGTACTTTGTGGCAAACAGTAATTTACCACTCACAAATGAACATTTCTTTTCTATTCCAGCAGTTTCTACAGTCTCCCATTAGCAACTGCTGTTCCTGGGTTGTCAGTTCCACAAGCCTTAATATTTTCAAGCAGATTCAATGTGAGATGTAAATCCACCTTGGGTTGTGACCTCTATTTTAGGAACTGCCACCCAGGTCACAGCAGAACTTTTTTCATTGTTGAGGGGTGAGGGGTGGACACTAGCAAGAAATGTCTCATGATTATCAATCTATAATGTTCCAAGGAACAAGCAAGCTTTGTGCCTCAGCTGACAAGCTTCTCACTAGGATGGTGGCAAGCTCTTTCATAAAGTTTTAATTACAAGTTTTTTACTGTTAAACATTTTTTAAAAGCAAACTTACCCATTATGCATTCCAGTTAGTTGCACATCTTGTACAACTCAAAACATGAATAAAGGAACATGAACACTGTATCAGTGCGAGAAGTACAACAAACTATACACCATGGGATTTAATTACAGTGCAATTTTGCAGGGTATAGTGAACATTAGAGATCAGATGTATTGTCTGAAAGCAATAAATAAATCATCTGATAATCTGAACATTTCTTTTGAGATCAGCTTTTTGAACCAACTATCAGCTTCTCATATCTCATCATCTATTGCAAATCAGATGGAGAGAGTGGAAGAGAAAAATGTGAAAGCAAGATGTCTTACATGCCTTCACACACAAAAGCTTTGTGATAACTGTAAATTTTTAAAAAAATAAAAATTCAAAAAGCTGCACAAGAAATAACTAAGTTAATTCAACATACACAGCATTGCCATTACTCTGCATATACTTCTATTTTCCTTTCAATAACAACCTGTTATTGAAAGGAAAATAGTTGCTATTATCTAGGGGGGTTATTAGTTACCTTGACCTGGTTGCATTACACATAGAATAAGCCCCAGAAGGTATGATATTGGTCTGGGTTTTTTTACACACATGGGAATATTTTTGTCCTGCAGGAACTGAAATAGCACAAGTCTGCAAAATCTGCTGAAAGCAGTTCTTAAAAATAGGAAGAAAGCTGTTTTGTAGGGAGAAAGTTCTCTAAAGAAAAATTTATATTTATCTATTCTTTGCTATACAGTCTGTATTGCAAATCTATATTGTATCAAGCCCACTGGGGATGCAAGGGAAAAAAATTAAAGAGATCTAATATAATCCTGGAAAGGAAGTTCTCACATGTAATCAGCCTGATTTTATGGTAAAAGCACACCCTCATCACAGACTGAAAAAGAAGCAACGAATATGCTATTTGAAGATTTTTGTTAAATGAAACACCATACTTTAAGAGACCAGCTCATCTTTTCAATATCATGCCTTGGTAGCTAACAATAGCTGTATGGTAATCAGTCTGTACTTCTTGTTCCTTCTGAAGTAGGGAACTTGCTGTATTAGCTTGAATACACACCTGTGTGTAGTGACACACCTGATTACATTCCTGCAAGAAGCCTCCCCCTTTGCTCTTCAGCAGCCTTTGAGTAAGAAAGATCCTGCACTGTTTCCAGCACTGTGAAGTACTGCAGTGTCACCATCTGCAGCAGCCATAACGTTATTAGCAGTAGGTTCACATTTAAAAGCTTCCCAATCACTGTATATAAAGCAATCAAAAAAAAAAAAAAAAAAAAAAAAACAAAAAAACTAGTTAAGTTTTATTGCTTAACAGAGATATGACTGAATCTATACCCCAGACTTCCAGCCCAGGTCTCTGAGATGAGATCAGCTCAGGACTCAACTGTAGCACAGCTGGCTCATCCACAGAGGCATTTGAGAGCATTTCCACTGCTGCAAGATGAGTTACAGAATGCCAAAGCAAAAACTTAGCACAAAATGCTCATTAATTGCTAATCATTATTTCAATAGACACCAACAAAAGATCAAGTAGGTAAATTTTGTTCTTCAAGGCATTATTAGCCTAAAAATTACTTGCATGAAGAAAACCAGTCTGAAGAAAGAGAGCCAAGCCAAGTAAAACGAATGCACGTAATTATCCCAAAAAGGCACCCATGAGCACACCCTGGAGAAGCAGCAGCCCCTAGTGGCACCCAGATCCTGCCTCAGCCATGGATTTTTGGGCCTGCAGTCACCTACTGGCTCAAAAAGAGTAATCCTACATGCATAGTACTGTTCTTCCACTTATTATATTAATTTTTTCACTTTACATATTTAAATGTTTGTTGGAATGTGTATTTATTCTTCCATAACTGAAGTTCAGGCAAGAGCTGTCCAATGTCACAATACACTGCTAAACACCTACAGCAGATGACATGACTATGATCACCCATTTATTGGAGAAGAACTGGAGAAACAGAGAAACATCATATTCTTTGTATTGTCTTTCCAACCCAATTACTCATGCATCAGAACACCAACCAAGGATATAATTGAAAACTTCTGCTTCTTCAAGGATGCTATGTGAAAGCCTTAAAAATATCCTCTACAGTCTGCGTTGGCTACTACTTCATCTCAAACCGTAACTCAATGTACTGAATTAATCAGAAGAAACTGCAGTTTCCTGCCTTAGCTTCTTGGAGAGCTCACTATGTTAGGCAGTCCAATCACTACATTGTATCTAATTATGAAGACAATGAGCAGAGCACCAATGTGTTTTCAGTGAAGTTTAAGAGTTAATTTCCTGCCTATGACTCCAAGAAAAGCAGAAGTTTCTTAGACATATTCCAAAAGGTCAACTACACATGATCACAGATGCACAAAAACCCAACAAGAGACAAGATGGATTCACACTGGGCAAGAAAAATTACGTGCTTTGAGTCAGGTGAAGGAGACTGAACATCTTACCTCTACTTGGCTATTTTTATTACATTAAAAATAAAAGAATTCCCAAAGGCTACACAAAAATAATAAAAATATTCTGGAGTCAGGTAAAAGGAAAAGCTAACAAAATACAAAACCAGCACCAGATTCATAGGCATTGTGTACAGCTCTACAACCAGGACAGCTTCAAAGTTTAGAGCACACAGAACAAAACCAGATTTTTTTAGAATTACATGTTTATTGTTCACATTTGAAATACTTCGGTTCCTGACTGAACCATTGAAAGTCCTAATACATCTGTAAACTGAATATCACTATAAAACAATTTAAAATGCCATGTAAAATAATATTTATGTATGCATGTGTTTCATTTCATGGTTTCTCAGCATCACCACTTTGTCTATTTACAAATATATAAAGATTTTGCGCTTTAAGTCATTGTAATATCAAAGAGGTATTTTCAAATCACACAATAAATATAGAACCTGTTTTGTTAAAAATCTACAGTATACTGTACATTCAAGTCGAGGCAAAAAAGGATTTAATGCCAGTTACACATGAGACAAATGAATGTTTCCAATAATTCAACAATCTCTAAAAGTGCTATCTCTGCCTGTGATGAAAACTAATGATGCTCCAGTATTTATTTTATTACAGTCAGAGTTTCAGACCATTGCTTCATTCACAGAATCAGAGCTTCTGTTACTAGAAAAATATCAAAGCTTTTATATATTTAATTATCTTCTTTCAAGAGTTGCAAGAAAAAGAGGCAAAAAAATGGTCTAAAAAAGTAAAAGCCATGTGCACGCACATACAACGCACACCACAACTCAGATCACCACATAATCCTCTAGCAGAATGATCAACCTCACAGCATTCTGTTTCATTT